TCTTAGTGTTAGAGTACAGCCTCTTCCACTCATCCAATATCATCTTGCTAGGAGGCAAGAGATCAAGTGAATTTTTGGGCTTCGGTTTTGGTGCCTCCTCTTCCTCCTTTGCAGGCTCCTTCTTGACCTCTTTCTTGGCTTCCTTGGGCATTGACTCCTTGGCCTGTGCAGCCTGTGCAGGCTTCTTCGCTGATGAAACAGGAGGAACAGACTCTGCCTGCTTCACCTCGCCCATTACCTTGCTAAAGTTTGGCTGATTAACAAGAGTCCAGAAGTATCTTTCTACATGGGAAATTGTGATGTGAAGCTCTTTATCATAATCTGAGAAAATCCATGATACAAGTTGCATGTCATGACTTATGGTCCTTGGAAACAATCAAACTACTGAAAGAAGGAGCATAGAAGATTAACCACAAGACGGTATACCACAAGTATACCAGGTTATCTCTATTAAAGAGTGCAAAGTTTCTCTCTTAGCTGAGCTATTTGTTTCTGTTGGCATGGAAATGCATTCCATTTTAGAACCTTCAGCTTATACTTGGTGAAAGTTTTTAATTGCTTTCGGGACTACTGCAGACATTTCTGGTTAATTCGAGAAGCAACTTATTATTCTTTGTATGGAGCTCCTTTGTCATCATGTTATTTTAATATTTGCATTCTACCTTTTTATGACTACTTTCTATCTCATGCAGCTTGAAGATGGTTTAAAGTTATCTTTCACTGATAAAAGGCGCCTTGCAAAAGTTTGCTTACTTCAAGATGTATTGTCCATTGCCCCAATATGTCCATCTTTCCTATAGATTCTTACATCTTTAGCGTCATTATAACTCTTCACCAATTTGTTGGTGCCGCCAACTTCTGTACCTCCAATAGCCGAGCTTGGTCTGGATGCATTGTTAGAGCCTATGAAGGTGGAGGAATTTGTAGATTCTTTGAGCAAAAAGAAAATTGCAATTAAAGCTCTACTACTCGATCAGGTTGGATATAATTTTTTTCCACAGAATCTCTCATATGTAAGTGCAAGTAATTGTTGAATTAGCAATACTAGAACCACAATGGTTAATGATACATTAGGTGGGTGTGCTGCATTTTGTATCTCCTTTGTGTGCTGCTACTCACCCATTCACAAGAAAATCCATTTATATGCGATGGTGATACCTAGGTGCTTTTTTTGTAAAATTTATCTTGCAGAACTCCTTCAAACCCTCCATAGTTGAAGTGTCTTAGTATTGCTGGCTTGACCTGAAAGACATTATATATCGATTTTATGACCATATTTGGTTAATTCACTTAGTTTTCTATCTAATTAAGTCACTTTGTTCTGTGGGTGATTGATAACTATATACCTAAATGATGGATCTATTTTCTGTGTTTCTTGATTTTTTTTTTCAAGGCCAGAATTCATCCCCTGCAGGTTGCTGCAACTTTGTCAAAGGAGAGCTGTGAAACTTTACATCGCTGCATCAAAGAGGTAATACACTTAAAAAAGGTTTCCCCCTCTTTTTCCTATTATAATTAAGGACCAATTTTTTGGTAAAGGCTTCTTCTATGTCGAATTAAACATAGATAAAAGACACTATTTGTAGGTTGCCAATTATGCCCTTGAAGTTGTTGCTGATTCCAATTCTTTTCCAATTGAATGGTTGTTTCATTTTCGATTGGGGAAAAAGTCTGGAAAAGTTAATGGTAAGTTTCTCAATGTATATGACTGTCTTGACCATAAGTCATTTATTCTACAGGTTATTGAGAAAGTTGTGGAAGTTGGAGCAGATAGTAGGTGATTATCATTTGTAGATGTACATGTACACTACTGCTCTTAATAAAAAAACAAAAACAAAATCATCAACTCCTTTTTTTTATGTGATACTGGCACAATTAGGCCAAATCGTAATGCACAGGACAAATGTTGTCTTAATTTATTTCTCTGAAGTTGAGTTCCTTGGATTAGATCTGTAGATAGTACTTTATAACTTTCTCATTGGTTTCATGATTAATAAGCAAACGCATATATAACATGCATTATTAGAATCAAACATACATTTGGTTAAATTCTATTAAAAAGTTATCGAATCG